AGGACGTAGTGCATAAGGTAGCATTTGCATTTGGATGTGACGAAGGTGTCTCTAAATTTGATGGTGGGATTTACTCCCGAATCATACAATGAAGGTGAATGGGTGGATCAACGAAAAACTAATTGTGATGTTGGTGGATAGCGGGGCCACAAATTATGTTATCTCAAATCAGGTCATGAAGAAGCTAGGGTTGGAGCTGGTGACTACATGGAGCTTTGACGTTATGATGGGGACAGAGAAGATGGAGATAAGTCAGGAAATTTGTAAGGGGTTGGTTCTGATACTACATGGACTATAAGTAGTGAAGGACTTCCTTTGATTCGGGCAACACAGATGTGATTTTGGGATGAAGTGGTTGCGAACGCTTTAGGAGATGAAAGTGGATTGGAACTCCCTAACAATGGAGTTCCAAGTGGAGGGTAGGAATGTATTATTTTGAGGAGATGCTAGTTTATGCAAAACTATGATGTCACTTAAAACTATGATCAAGTCGATTCGAGGAGCAGAGCTAGTCTACCTGGTGGAGTTGCAAAGCATTGAGGAGATTCGAGATTCAGAGTTGATAGATTTTCTGAAGGAGTCCAACAGCTCCTCCAACAGTTTCAGATGTCTTTCAACAACCAAGCAAATTATCTCCCTCGAGGGAGCACGAACACACTATTACATTAAAGGAGATTGCTTCTTCTATCAGTGTCAAACCATACATACACCCTCAAATTCAGAATGATGAGATAGAAAAATTGATCCGAGAGATGCTCGAGGCCAAGATTATCTGGCTTAGTGTGAACCATTTTCGTAGTCCAGTCCTATTGGTGAAGAAAGAAAAGGAATTTGAAGATTCTGTGTGGACTACCGGGATTTGAAGGAGACGGTGCTGGACAAGTTTCCTATTTCTGTAATTGATGAGTTACTGGATGAGCTTTATAGGGCAGTTATTTTCTCAAAAGTTGATCTTAAGTCGAAATATTACTAGATATTGAATCCAGTAGATGTGCACAAGACAATATTCAAAACAAACGAAGGACATTATGAGTTATTAGTGATGTCGTTTGGCCTCACCAACGCTCCAACGACATTTTCTTCTCTTATGAATAGGTTTTTTCAACCTTATCTTCGAAATTTTTTTCCTGGTCTTATTTGATGACATTTTGATCTACATTTGTACAGAGACTGAGTATGTGGAGCATCTAAGGACAGTCCCGGAGACGTTTATGAAGCACTAGTTGTATGCCAAATTGAGGAAATACTTATTTACACGATTAAAGGTGGAGTACCTAAGACGTGGTGACCAAAACCGGGGTAGTGGTGAATTAGTTTAAGATCGATGCTATGGTAGATTGACCATTACAAAAGAGTTTGAAAAAGATGACAGAATTCCTGGGTCTCATCGGTTAATACTAGAAGTTTGTAAGAGGATATGACATAATAGCATGACCATCCAAGGATTCTAAGAGGTGACACTAAATGAAAGTTTGGTATGAACAAAAAATTTAAAAAATTGACATTATGTATGGTTCGAGCTAAGGATATAAATAGTTTCAAATATATTTTTGAAAAAATATGATGCTTACATAATAAAAATATAATTTTTTCATATTTTTAAAATAGGTCATAAGAAAAGAAAAGCCTAAATGACACCTATTAGACATCTTGAAAGCTTAATACAACATATGCATGCTAGTCATGGTGCAATAGCTAATATTGCTCTCCGAGACATCCTCGTATGCAATATTCGCTAACACGTTGCGACCAACAGTGGGTGAGTCAGCTAAGATGCAAAGTGATCCAGTGCATTGTGATTACTTCGTCGGAGTATGAGTGATCACGGGATATCGAATATTCATCACAAGTATATAGTGGCATATACCAGTGGAGAATACACCGATAGTGCAAGGATGCACATGCAAGACACATCACATAAATGATATTATGCTTGACCACCTAGGGTATAGGACTCCACAGGAGAGAATTACACCTTGTCCTAATTGCGACCAAATACAGAAGAAAGGCAATTTCAAATTTTGGGGGGGGGGGGGGGGGGGGAAATGGTGCAATAGCTAATATTGCTCTCCGAGACATCCTCGTATGCAATATTCGCTAACACGTTGCGACCAACAGTGGGTGAGTCAGCTAAGATGCAAAGTGATCCAGTGCATTGTGATTACTTCGTCGGAGTATGAGTGATCACGGGATATCGAATATTCGTCACAAGTATATGGTGGCATATACCAGTGGAGAATACACCGATAGTGCAAGGATGCACATGCAAGACACATCACATAAATGATATTATGCTTGACCACCTAGGGTATAGGACTCCACAGGAGAGAATTACACCTTGTCCTAATTGCGACCAAATACAGAAGAAAGGCAATTTCAAATTTTGGGGGGGGGGGGGGGGGGGGAAAAAAAAAAAATGGAAAAAGAGCCATGACCGATGTCCTGGTATTAGCACTTCTAAATTTCAGTAATCATTTGTGGTGGAAACGGATGCGTTGGGGTACGGGTTGGGAGCAGTGCTCATGCAGGACCAATCATCGATCGACTACTCCAGCCAGGTTCTTACGACTAAAGCGAGGCTAAAGTTGGTATATGAACGAGAATTGATGGCAATTATCTTGGTCATTCAAAATTAGTGGCCCTACCTGCTGGGATGACATTTTCAGGTCAGAACATATCAGAGGAATTTGAAGTATCTCTAGAGCGGCAGATGGTGACAGATAAACATCAGAGATGGCTATCCAAGTTATTCAGTTACTATTTTGAGATTCAGTACCTGCTAGGATTGGAGAACAAGACAGCCGACACACTGTCGAGAAAGTGGGAGGAACTCCAACTGACGACTCTGTTGGTACCCTTGGTCCTAGAGTGGAAAGTCTTGAAACGAGTGAGCGAACATGATTAGGAGCTGAGGAAGATAAGAGTTGAGCTACTACATGATCCAAACAGTCATCTAGAATATGCATTAGGGAGCAACAACTGCTCCACTATGGGATATTTGTGCTACCAAAGGCGTCAGAATATATTCCTAGATCACTACAGGAGTTTCAAGGCAGTGCGATCGAGAAACACGTAGGGGTACATATGACCTACAGTCGTCTAGCGACAGAGCTTTATTGGGTGAGGATGTGCAAAGACGTTGAGGACATGGTGACAAAATGTGATGTGTGTCAGTGACATAAGTACATGACCACGACACTCGGTGGGCTTCTACAACCATTAGCATTACCGAGGAAGATTTTGGGAGAATTGATGATGGATTTTATCGATGAGTTGTCACAGTTAGAAGGATTCACAATAATCATAGTGGTCCTGGATCGTCTAAGTAAGTATGCACATTTCGTTCCCTCACGACATCCCTACATGGCGGTCTCAGTTGAGTTGGTGTTTATTCGGGAAGTGGTATGTTTGCACGGACTGCTATAATTGATTACATCGAATAGGGACAAGGTGCTCCTCAACTAGTTTTGGAAGGAGCTATTCAGGTTGTAAGGGAAAGTCTTTAAGAGAAGCATCACATATCATCCTCAGACTGCTGGGCAAATGTTGGTGGGTTAACAAGAGTGTGGAGACATACTTGCGTTGTTTTGTATACGATACACCGAAGTTATGGGTTAAGTGGATTGCATTGGTCGAATATTGGTATAATAATTCATACCACACTGCAACACATACCACCCATTTTAAGATATTGTATGGGCGGGATCCACCTCACTTGATATATTATGGGCATCGCTACACTGGTATTCAACGTCGATCAGTATTTGTAAGGGAGGAACAAGATACTAGCAGAGCTCAAGTTGCATCTACTGAGAGCTCAAAAAATGATGAAGAGGAAAGCGGATGAACACAAGAGAGGTGTAATTTGAATAGGGAACATGATATACTTAAAATTGAGGCCCTATCGACAAAAGACATTGACCTGGAGGTGAAGCAAGAAACTTTCACCGCGATAATTTGAACCTTATAAGGTGTTGTCACGCATCTGGACAATGACCTACTGTTTGAGGTTACCACTATTGTCTGCACTACACCTGATCTTTCATGTATCACAACTGAGACGTGCGATTGGAGATCATATACTTTCGTCTACATTACCGCTGACACTGTCGGAGGAATTGGAGGTAGCAAATGAGGTATTGGTTAAGTGGAAATGACTGTCAGACTATGAAGCAATGTGGGAGTCTTATGAGGTGATCCACAAATAATTTCCATCATTTTGCCTTGAGGACAAGGTACTTCTTTTGGAAGGGAGTATTGTTATGCCTGGGAGTGGACTGGTCCCTCCTGGACAGGCCGGTCTCTCTTGCGTGAAGGAGAGGGGCCGCTATTTGCATGACACGAAAAGGAAAGGAGAAAGTTGGGCCACGAGGGCCTTAATCACATACTCGAGGATAAATTAAAGGAGTTTGGAGAGAAAGTTGAGAAGGAAAATTTGAAATAATGTGGGAGGACTCTATTAAAAAGAGGACATAGGGTTTGTTCTTCTTTTATGCATGTTTTGTGGGTTGCTGTGTTTTTCTTCTTGTGATGTTCTTAGAGACATCTAGGGCTGTGGGAGAACCGATTCTACCTCTCGATGCATCTAGGACTTTTATCAAAAGTATATCACCATTGTATCTTGCTCGTTTTCATTTGTGTTTTTGTAAGAGCAGCTCTTATTTTAATTATTTCTATTTACCTATTGTTGTTTCGTCGTTGTTGCTTGCTATTTTTGTTTTCGAAGCGTATTAGTTTCTTTTATGTTTGAGGTGATACCTGAAAGTATGGGTGCGTTCTGGAAATGATCGATTGAATTTTAACGTGAAGGATGTAGCTAAAAAAATAATATCATTTGTTCCCTGGAAAATTGAAGTTTAATTGGACACTGTATTGACTTGAATGTTTCCCATGATGCTGCATCTGTATATATTAAGCTGCTCATTATATTCTTATACTTGCTTGAAGCTATCGCTCTGACTCTAAGAACCGCTATTTTTGGTATTCTATTTGGAATGCAGGAGGGAGTTTCATAGGATTGTTTTATCCTTGGAGAAAATTGCAAGAGATGCTGACCAACTACTGAAAGGATCGACTCCATACCAGATGCAACTACGTGTTGGCATGCATCCAACTCTTCAACAATGCCTAGATGGCCTTAATACTCTTCATAAGATGCATAAATCAGAGTAATGATGAGTTTATCCCTCTATTCAAAGATTGAAACTTCCAAAATTTGATGTTTTCATATTCTCTGGATTTTTTATTTTTTTCAAACTCAAAGTATTTCTCTTTATTTTTTGTTCTATTTTTTTTCATGTTCTCCAATATCAAATTGTTTCAGACCATTCCTTATGATTGACCACATGGAATCTCATTTTTTGGTCCTTTTTGGTCTTGTTTTCAACTGATCAGTCTGAGCTATATTTTAATTGAATCGGTGAAATTGTTCTGAAACAAAAACCAATGTTGTGATACTACTGGAAAAGAAAATGAAAATTAACATACCTATTTGATAGAAGTAAGTTACTGATTTCATGCATTGAATTACTTTTCAAGATACCAATGACATGCCATTGGGCAGAATGTACTTGAAAGTTGCAACCATGTCTTCCTTTGCAGTATCATTCATTTTTTTTTAAGGTTTTGGGTTCATATTGCATTCCATCAATTTTCTAGATTTTTCTTTTAGTTTGTTGTTTGCTACAGCGTATTAAAATTGTAGAATCCTTTTGCATTATGTTACTGCATAAATAATTATTACTGTAATTGTTACTTTCAAAAGATTTTACACTTTTGTTTTTTATTTGGCCACTTAGCATTAATGAGCAATTTTTCTGATATTTTTCAGATACCTCCTTAAATCTTCAATTCTTTCATCATTGATGTTGAATTACTTAAAATGCAGGTCAGTCAGAAACGCTCTTCTTATTTTTCATCGATCTTTTTTTATTCATTACGATGTTATTGAACATGTTTAGGCTTGGCATTTAAGCATGAAGGCCATTGAAGATTGATTTACTTCATTTTGTAAGTGGAAAAACATGTATATTTTGTATTAGAAAGAGAGATAATGGGAATATTTAATCTTTATTGATTTACTATGAATTCTAAGCATATATGTGCTTATATTCAGGAGAAAGAATGAAGCAAGAAAATAATTCAAATATTCTTAATGTTGAGGAAATATTGTGAAAATAAATGCGTGAGATCCTTTTTATATATGATTTTGCGTGTGTGTGTATACATATGTATCATATTACTCTTCCCAAAAAATTCAAAGCTCATTAATAGAGATCAACGCGAGATAACATCAGATTAGGCGAGAGGCTAACTAACGGAAACCATAGCAATATATGCTCAAATCTGTAACAATTTGGATTGAACAGAGATATTGTTGTTGTTGATGTGAGGGTAAAGACATACAAAATCTTGTGGCTGATGAAAATTTGCAATTTTTATCTGGGATCAGTGACGGTATGTGTAGATTTGCAATATCGAATGTGATATGACAACCAGAAGGTGTCCATGAAGACTGATGTTCTATGAATGCCATAGGTATCTTTGAATTCTATTAGAGATCTCTTAGAGGGTTAATGTAGATTTGTGGAGATTTGTGACAGGTTGAGATCCGCCATTGTTGGAGGAGATATGTGAATGCCAAAGGGATATCGATGAAGGCTAGTATAGATCTAGCAAAGGCTAATGGATATCTACGAATGCTAGTGGAAGCTTTAAATGGAGGATAAATAGTTCCTTAACTAGGAGATGAAAATTAGAACATGTCATTGAATAGGGGATGAACATTCCTCAAATAATGGATGAACAAAGAAACAAGTAAAAGTGAGGCAAAATTGATAATTAAATAAATAAGAAGAAAATGATATTAATTTTTGCAAAAAATACAAGTTCGATAAATGATTAAAAATGTTAACAATGAAAGGCTATAAGTGCCACAAGTGTTTTTAGAGTTTCAGACGGAGTGCATGGTTAGAGATATTGAGTCGTCAACAAGGTTGAAAACAATGGGTATCGATGAAATGGTCACAGCTAGAATAAGTAGATATGAGGGTGTGCCAAAAGATTACTCTCTATGACTTAAGATCTATGCATCGTGTGCCAAGATTTGAGAACTCGAAGAATTTGTATGACTTGGGAACTCTTTTGAAGAGAGAGTTGAAGCCACTATCTGGAAGAGGTGAGTGGTGGAGAATTTCCTAAGTATAAATTAAGCAAAAGATCAGGCAAGGAGATTTAATGCTACTTTTTTTTTCAATGCTTATTTCATGATACTAGTTCAAGACAAAATCCCAAGTTGGGAAAGTTAGTGTGGGTCTACTACAAGGTAACATTGTCATCGATGTTTGACAGTCTGTGCTGTCGAATGTGAGATAGGGTGCTCCATTAGTAAGGAAGTGCTAGGTGGGAGTGGAGTTAATAGTAAGGTGTAGTAGTAGGTATCTGCGAAAAAGGCCATGCAGCAAGATCTCGTAGAATAGAAGACGGTTTGGAAGTGGAGTCCCCTTGAGGAGACCATGTCTATTGCGAATGATCAACATGCATTGTGAGTGTCGAGATTGGCTGGAACTCATGACATGAGCCACATCTAGGCCAAGGCAGATTTAATGTTCCATTTTTTTATGCTTATTTCATGATACTAGTTCAAGAGAAGATCTCAAGTTGGGAAAGTTAGTTTAGTTCTACTACAAGATAACATTGTCGATGGTGTTTGAGGCCTGTGTGGTCGAATGTGAGATTGGGTGTTCCATTGGCAAGTAAGTGCTAGGTGGGAGTAGAGTTAATAGTAAGGCGTGGTAGTAAGGATCTCTGTTGAAGGCCATGCAACAAGCTCTCATAGAGTAGAAGAGGGTTTGGCAGTGAAGTCCCCTTGAGGAGACCATGTCTTTTGCGAATGATCAACATGCACTTTGATTGGTGAGATTGGCTGCATCTAGGCCAAGGCAGATGTAATAATAATGTTCATGTAGTTGCCATCGATGAATGGGATTTATAAAATGCCACAAAAACTAAAGTATTCATGGACACCAATGCAGTTCTAATTTGTGTTCAGACAACTTGTGATCAAGATACAATCCATGATTATAAGATTAGTTCCATTTAATGCTTCATATGCATCACTAGCCTCATCACAGAGGTCCTTAGGCTTCTCTGAATTCCCATCATTAGTACAAAGACTCCATTCGGGGCATGTACTTGCATATTGACCAAATTTGCTACATTTGAAGCAATTGATACTAAAGACTTCGACCCAATAGTTCTAGCTAGCCCCTTTACTTTAGGGTCTTGTGATCCATTAGGAGTTGTAGATATAAATGAAGCGTGCTTGGGATGAAATCCTCACCTAAAAGAGGTGGTGAACTTCTTGTGGTTTAGTGTCTGCGTATATTGTTTAATTTGGACAAGTTGAGAAGCATCCTCCATGGAATAGATTTATGGAGTCTGCAATTTTTACCTGATATTGACTTGCAAGTCATATTAAGATTTTGAGATCATGGTTGTAGAGCCTTTGATAATGCTATAATAAACAATAAGTTCATCCAAATGAGTCATACGATTTTTCATCAACATTGATCCTTGCCTAAAAGTGATTAATTCATTATTAAGTTGATTCTGATAGGTGAGGGGCAAATGTTTTGAACTTTTTACTCAAGGGTCTCGATCTCATCCCAAGAATTGATAGTAGTCATCCACTTATTCTTTTATCATTAAGTTTTTTCATAGGCAATGACTTTATTATGTGTGAATTTGATTCTGCATTTTTTTACGTGCTCAACTATTTGAAATATTAGTCCATGCAGGTTAGTGATTGAAGGTGAACTCTTGGGTCAAATCGACTGTCAAAAGAGGGTTGATTGATCTTTAGCTCTTTAAGTAATTTCCTCATTATAATATTGGTTTTGAAGGCGATATAATCAAATATAAATGGTGGTTCCTCATAATAGTGGCAATTGTCAAGAAATACTACTGAGTTTTTTCTAATGATCAGCTCATCTATGAGGGTGGATGTTATGGTGCTTCATCTATCTTCATTTTAATCATGATAGCTGTCTTTTGGGAATGAATCAACACGATAATTGTAAGGTTTAAAAGGTGGTGAAGGAGAGTTAGGCCTACAAGGTAACTGTCCGTACATTGGATGGGTTTGAGATCAGGTTTGTGATTTATATGTTTTTAGGCCTAGCCCCAAGTTTTGGAAGATTTGCAAGAGTTAGATGGTTAGATCTTTTATTTGCTATCACAAACGACCGATATCATTCTTACATTACAATTTCAAGATTTATATAGATATATACTCTGAATAACGATATTGAAAATATCAAGACAACTAGATTCAAAGAAGAATTTTTATGAGTGCTCTCTGGAATTTGATGGTCTAGATGATAGAATCAAAAAAATTGGTAAGCCATAAAGTTGTATAATATGCCGAGTTTATTAAAATTTATGTATATGTAAAAAAAAATTAATTTATAAAAAAACATAAATACAATGAATTGTCACAAAAAATATAAAAATTCAATGCAAGCAAATATTTTTCTTTTGAACGATGTGCAAATGCAATAAAATTGAAAGCACATATGTATGGCTGACTAATGATCTATTGAAGTGATGGTTTGGAGTTTTTACTTGATTTTGATTGGGGTGGTAAGCTGATGATAAGAAATCAGGCAGCACAAGATGGTGCAAAAAATACAACATAAAACAAAAAGTTCCCAAGAAAGCTTCAACTAAGGACAACTTTTGATAATGCTTGATACTATGTTAATGAACGTACGACATCTAACCTTGCAAATTTGAAAAAGATAATAATTAATCAATATTAGATTAACATTGGTGGAAGCTAATGATCATGGTGTTACATTGATCCGTGAACATTCTTTTTTCATGATGATTTCATTTCTCTTATTAAGTTCTTCTCAAGGTCTCATACTTTGACAACTTAAGTAATTTTTGGTGCAAAGTACACAAAATATTCACACTCAAAGTGAAAGGTAGTTGTCGGTCAACTTTTTCGATTGATTTTGAAAATATGGTAAATGAAAATAATTTTTGAAATTTAATTTAAGTATAAAAGATATATAGTTTGAGTTTTAAAAGTAGTATGTTTTAATTTTTGAAAAATGAGACCACATTAGTCTGATAGTTTGCATAATCGTGTCTGATACCGCGAATACTACACCCTCCCGAAAGATAAGTGTAGATCTCAGCGATAGACTCAATCCTGCAAACTAAGAGATTGGTGACATCCGTTGGTCTGCGAACCTTTTATGTATGACCGATTAATTCCCCTATCTAATACAAAGATTAAATAGAGTTTATTTTACCTGGGTCCCAAGTTCTCTATAGAGGCAAGCCCCTATAGTTAATTACATCTCAAATAACTGGGGTCACTTGAGAAAACTCTCGATAATGATCAGTGGTTCTAGTCTTCAAGATTTCAAAGTTTAATTTCTCACGGTAGGACGTGGAAAGACAAATGGGAGTGGCATCCTAGACTATCCTACTCTGTGGCTGCATTTTAGAGAAGATGTTATTTGAATGTTTAATCCTCAATTTTTCCTGTCAATTTTATTATTTGGGACTTATATTTGCATAATATCCGATTATGTAAATAGCCCGCAGAGATAAGAGGGTTTACGTTGTAACAAATAACAACCTCGGAACCTAAGGCGAGTTAGGACTTATGTTGTACAACATGGTTGTGCAGGGGCCTAAGGAAAAAGTGGATTCTAGACTATCCTACTCTGTGGCTGCATTTTAGAGAAGATGTTATTTGAATGTTTAATCCTGTCAATTTAATTATTTGGGACTTATATTTGCATAATATCCGATTATGTAAATAGCCCGCAGAGATAAGAGGGTTTACGTTGTAACAAATAACAATCTCGG